CTATTGAATAATAATAATAATAATAATATCAAATAAAATAAAATAAAATTAGTAGGCATCATGCCATATATTTTTTCATGAAAAATGCTCGAAACACTTAATTTATCAAATAATAATAACAAATAAAATAAAATAAAATTAGTAGCAGAGACTTGATCAAGTGGGCATCATGCCATATACATATATATATATATATATATATATATATTATTTTTCAAATCTCACTTTGTACAGCAAACTGTCTCAGGATGGAGTTATAACAGATCTCCAAGAAACAAAAGATGCCCTTGTGAAGGCTTCAGACCTACCATTGTCAATCCTTATTGTTGGAGTTGGAGGAGCAGACTTTAAAGAGATGGAGGTATCTATCTCACTTTTATTTCCATTACTTGGAAAAAGGTGTTCTGTTCTGCCTATGTCTTATTGTTGAGTTGTCATGCATAATTTGAGCCTACTGTCTATATCCGAAGGTCTCAATTCTTGACTATTGACTCTTGAAGTCACTACAATTTGACAATTGTTGTCCAGATTTTGGATGCGGACAAAGGTGAGAGACTTGAAAGTTCAAATGGACGTGTGGCATCACGCGATATAGTCCAGTTTGTTCCAATGCGAGATGTGCAGAGTAAGTCAAACCCTACTAATCCGACAAATTAACTCAATAGTCGAAAAGACTTTAAACAACTGATTTTATGACCCCACTGTCTTCCGCCGCCACTTGCCGCCACTTGTCATTTCTCACTCTTTTTTATATTTTTAAATTTTTTTAAACATTTTGTCAATTACCAAACGCGTTTGTAGTTTATGTTTTTCTAAAAATAAACAAAAAATAAACAAAAACCAGTTTATAAATTTTTTGTAAATATGAACTGAAAATGTAAACGTTACCAAACAGACCCTAACCATTTCATTTTCAATTTTCAATTTATATTTGAAAAAATTTAAAAAACTATCATAAAAACTTATTTGATAATTTTTTTGGTTTATAAATGGTTGTCTCAGTTTGTAAATTTGAGGAAAAAATATAAATTCAAAAAATAAGTTTACGTTGGTTTTTAAATAGAAATTTAAAAATTTTACTAGTAATTTTTTTTTCAAATAATTTTTTTTCCAATTAATTTTTTTTGGGTAAATTACACTAACACCCCCCTGAGGTTTATGTTTATTACAGTTCCCACCTCACCTTTTGGAAATTACATTTCCCCCTAAAGTTTAAAGTTTCATTACAGATTTTTTCCTTTTTTTTAAGGTTTAAAGTTTCAATACAGATTTTCCCCTTTAGCAATTTAATTTTTTTAAATACTAATTTTGCCCTCACTGGGTAAATTACATTGACACCCCTCACATTTCAGAAATTACAATCCCCTCTCTAAGATTTAAAGTAGCATTACTAATTGCCCCCTTGGTCAGTATCAGTTGGAAAAAAAATTTATTGAAAAAAAAAATTGTTAGTAAAATTTTTAAATTTCTGTTTAAAAACCAATATAAACTCATTTTTTCAATTTACAATTTTTCTTCAAATTTACAAATTGAGACAACCATTTATAAATTAAAAAAAGTATCGAATAAGTTTTTACAACAGTTTTTAAAATTTTTGTAAATATAAATTGAAAATTGAAAATTGAAAATGATGGTAAAAATATCGTAAAATTAACAAATAATTAAATAAGTTACCAATATAAGAAATGACTTATCAAAAGATTTTTAGGCTATGTATGATTTGATTTTTAAAAAAAATTTAAAAATTAAAAATTAATTTGATTAAGAAATAAAAAATAAAAAATAAAAAATAATTATTACTTTTATATAATTTTTATCTTCCGAATGATTAAAAATAATATTTATAAATTTAATTGAAACAGTCATCCGTATCCGTATGTATATAATCCAAAAAAAAAGAAGTAGGCGCTAAAATAAAATGTCGTGGCGCCAATCACCAAAAAATAAAAATAATAATTAAAAAAAAAAGAAAAAAAGAAAAAAGAAGAGAGGTTCTGTTGCTATTCAGCAAATAAGAGAGGGAGAAGATAAAGGGTTAGTGACTATTGATGTCCGGTCAGACTATTGAACCAAGCAAACCAGAGCCGCCACTCTACTATACCAGTAAACACAGCTCTACAAGGAGTAACTGTCACAGATTCTCTCTCTCTCTCTCTATAATTTCTCGGGGTTTCCATTCGCTGAAGAAAAACAGGTACAGAATCAGCTCCATTACTCTTTTACATATATACAAATCGAACCCAGCTTTTGATTCTCTGATGTATGTATAGACTATAGTATCGTGTGTTTTGAGTTGGGACTGTTCTAGGGTTTCTTCTCAATCACAGACTTTGGCAAGGCGTGTGCACAATAGGGACATTAGAGGTCATTAAACATTTAAAAATTTTTTTTTTCTATTTCCCTATTTGAATTTAGGTGTTTGAATTTCTTCGTTAAGTTTTTGGTTTTCATTGGAGCATTATCTTTAATTGGGTTGGGTTTCTAAGTTCGAAAAGCTTTGATTAATGATGAATCTTGAAACCCATCAATATTAAATACTAACATGTTGTTGATACAAAAGAACAAAGAAAAAAGGTGTTAGCTGCACTTTTTGATGTGGTAAGCTTGCTGAAAACAATAATTCAATAGGTTCAAGAATTCATGTACTATTGCTTTTTGGATCAGTTCATTATGAGTTGTCGGTAAAATTTTAGAATGTAGTTTTTGTTTCTTTATGTTCTTTGTGTCTGCTAGGTACTCGATCAAATGCCACAAAGTGGCTGTGTTTTCTTTGATGTTGCTGACATATGTATTATATTAGAAAATTCAAATGCCTTGTGGTTTTGTTGGGTTGCTTATATGATGAGAGGAAATTGAACACTAGCTTTGCCCTTTTTTCATCAAAATTATTTTCAATTTGCTATTTATTAGAATAGATATCTGTCAATATGGGATAAGGAGCTCACAAGCAACGCAGATATAGCTTTTTAAAAGGACAAGTGTATTGTCATTTTGTGTAGAGGTGAGTTTTGGATGCTGTCACCAGAATGAAATTCTATGAAGCACAAGAGGGAGTTTCACCCGAAAGTATTCTCCGATGAACTATTCTGAGGTCTACTATTCCACTTACTACAGGAGAAATGGTTATTTATGGAAACTTGTTCACATTATGTGTACATATTGTATTTTTTGATTGCGTCATTGTTAATTTTTTCGTTTTCTGATTGCATTACCGTTTCAGATATATCACTACAAATATTGTATATTTATTAAAAATATTGCCCAATACCAAAGAGAGTTCAAAAACAAGTACATACCGTACCACTGACAAACTTGTTCCTTATCCAGTACGGGTTGACGACGTTGGTGTTGACATTTTAAGTGTTAAAAAAAAAATTAAATTTGAAGTTAAAAAGATTATTATAAAATTTCGTAATATCAATCACAAAATCATAAACTCATTACAAATTGGTGTTACAATATTGTAACCAAACCACAAATAAATCACCAACTTTTGTTCCATGACCCACAAAATTGTAACATTTTGTTACGTTAATCTATGGTAAAATTATGTATTTTGTGGTTGATGTTATGCTAATTTATGGTAAAGTTATGGATTTTGTAATTGATGTTATAAAATTTTATGATAAAATTATACCAATTGTGGTAGGGTGCATATGGTATGTGCCAGGGTGCATATGGTGTCTGTCAACCGCTAGTAACTTATTAAATGTACTAATTAGTGTACAATGGTTTTTATCTTCTGTTCTAGTTAATCCAATGATCTTCTTAATTAGTTTTTAACAATTAATACTTAGTTATTGGCAAATTAAATCTGAATTCCATATTGGAGAGACCTACACCTTAGTTGTACCTCTAGTACTTTTTTCCATGTGTTTGGATGATTTCAAAGCTAAAGTTCATGGCTTTCAAAGCCCTTTTTGCAGCTGAATTTGTAGATTTTAAATCTTGTCAACTTGCCTTTATTTTAATTCTTTCTTACTAGTGTATGTGACATGGTTTCTTCACTTTGATACAAGTCTGTACATGGAGAAAGTCAATCTAATTGGTAGAGTCATCTGTGATCCATGACTACCAGTACCTTAGTTGTGTTTTATCTTTTCCTTCTTGTGGGTTATGTTAGGGTTGTTAGAATCTTACAATATACGATTTCATTTATATGATTCAATTCATGGTGTTGAATCTTAAATTGGGTGAATTTTTTATTCAATTACGATTCAATACGATTCATTGTGATTTATAGGGCCATCCATAAGGTAAGGCGAGTAAGGCCGTCGCCTTGTGCCCCCAAATTTTGTCTAAAAAATAAACTTCGAAATAATCTCAATCTTAAGTTATGTTTGGTTAATTATTTCAGTCATAAGTTATATTTGGTTTACTAAAATAAAGTTAAATAGAGTAATCATTCCATCATAATATTCATTTCACATTTGATTTACTAAAAAAAATTTAAAACGAAATCAACATTCACCATTTTGAGGGAATGGTAACTTTATGAGTAACAAATGACCATTTTCATTTCAATGAACCAAACACTGCATTATAATATTAGTAGTTTAAAAATAAAAGTTTAAACAAACAATTAAATTGGTGAATTATTTAAAAATAATGGATGATTGCTTGCTAAATGTATGAATTATTTATAGAATATTGTTTAACTATACGAGTTACAATTGCTTCTGGAGAAATAAATTTTTTTTTTAAATTGCGATTAATCAAATTTCACAATTTAATTTACTACATTAGGTAAAAAGTGTGAATAAATTAATAGTGTTAACAATAAAAAATATTAAAAAATTATCTCAATAATTATGATTTACGTCAATAACTATGTGTACCATATGCAACAAATTTATAGAAGGTACAAGCAAAAAATAAAAATAAATTGAAGATTTTTACTATTTTACCAATATATATATATATATATATTAAAATATGTATGAGAATAGAGGTCCCATCTTCTGACTTCGCCTTAGGCTCCCAATAAGTTAGGGTTAACCCGGGTGATTTACAATGATTCACTACGAGTCATTGTGATTCAGCGTGATTCATTTTTGTTTGTATAATACACGATATAAATCGTTTTCACTAAATAAAATAAGAGATTAATTAGTTATATTGATATATGTAGTTTTATATGTATATAAATATATATAATTAAGTTATATTGATATTTATTTCATTTTAAATACTATGTGTTTATATATATATATATATATAATTATATGTCATGCTAAATAAAATGAATCATACAGTTCATGATTCAAAATTTTAACAAAGTGATTCACGATTCAATTCTTGATTTGGCAACAATAGTTAGGGATTTTATTTATTCCTCTTGTGTTGATTGTGGCCTTGCTAGCAACCAGAACCCACATAATTGCTTAGTTTGTGTCACAAGAATGCCTCCTTATATGTGAAGTGTTTTTGGACTTTCTTACTAATATATGTAACTCTGATACAGGTTGTGGAGGTCTCAACTTCCAAAACTGGCAAGCATGGTCATGCCAAATGTCATTTTGTTGGTATTGACATTTTCAATGGAAAAAAGCTTGAAGATATTGTTCCCTTTTCCCACAACTGTGATGTATGTGCTTCCTTCTCAGTCCTGTGCATCCCAAAAATGCCTTTTAAGGATCATTTTTTTGTTATCATGGTTTGTTTTACCCCCTTTCTTATAACTAAGCTCTCAAATCATAATGACTTGTTCTCATGAATTGCAGGTTCCTCATGTCGCCCGTACAGACTACCAACTGATTGATATCTCTGAGGATGGATTTGTATATATACGAACTTTCTCTTGTTCAATTGCCTTGTTGCTTTTGGTATAAATTCTGTTTTATACTATTCCCAATGTTGTAGGTGAGCCTGCTGACTGAGAATGGTAATACTAAGGATGATCTGCGCCTTCCAACCGATGAAAATCTGCATACGCAGGTTACTAGATGTCATTCTCCCTTTCATTGTGGATGCTTATCTTTTACATGCATCTTTTATGAACATGTGCCATAGCATTGAATCTCTCTGTTGGCGTACAGCTCTGTTTTAATGTCATCATTTTTATGTGGATCCAGTTGTTTGTTATGTTTCTGATGCAATTGTTGAGTTTTAATTAAAAATTTCTCAGCAGGTTAATGAGTTAGTTAATTATATCTTCTGGATCGTACTTGCTAATCTGTTTACAGTATGATGCCAGACATTGATAATTGGAAAGTTAATGATCAAACTACTGTGAATTTGTTTTTATACTTTTGTTTGTGATATTGATTCCTCTCTGCCCTTACTTAAGCGGAAGTTTCGTGCACTGAGTACACCATTTTTTTTATTGATTCCTCTCTGCATTGCTAATAGCCAATTGTTTGAATGCTACAGATCAAGGATGGATTTGGCGAGGGGAAGGACCTTGTCGTGACTGTGATGACTGCCATGGGAGAGGAGCAGATCAGTGCCCTCAAGGATATTGGCCCAAAGTAACTCCCTGAAGCTTTGGAGAAAGGTAGGGGATTTCAATTTCAAAGTGCAATAGAGATAATAATAGCTATAAGAGGTTTTGGTCTGGTTTGAGGACAAAGGCCCACCATTTTGAGAACTGTCTACTATTAGATGGATTCTTCAAATATGGTATAGCCTTCCATCTAAGACAAATTTTTCATTATTAGGGTTTTATAATTATAATTTTTTTTTTTTGCCTGTTTGGTTACTGCTTGAACAATGTTGGGGAATTGATTTTCCAGCAAGACTGTAAGACACTTATTTTGGACCTTGGATTGTTGTGGGTATCATGTTTTACGCCATGTTCATCTCTACACCTATATCCACAAATTTTTTTTCGTAACATACAAGATATACAATGCATATAATAAGTGTAGAGAGAAAATAAGGGAGTATTTAGAAGCTCCGGTGAATTCTTTTCATAAATGCAGCCTCTGCTTCTCCAAAACTTGCTGCTGTTGGTGATAGTAACTGCAATGTATGTACTCTCCCCCCTCCCAAAAAAAAAATGGAGTAAATTCTTGAGTTTTTATTTATTTATTTATGGGTACCTAGAATTATGGTTCAACAGTAATAATAATATACATTCACAAAAAGATCGTACACATGTATTGAGATTTATCATTTTTAAATACTGTGCTCATTAGTGACCTCCTAATTACAATGTCATTGACACTGAGCTGCTATGGCATCTAATTGTTAACAGGGAAGTTACTTCCAAAAGGATTAAGATCAAGCAGAAATGATTAATGTTCCTATTTTGGTTTTCTGAATTAACTTTTTAGTTTATTCATATGCATCAACGGTTTCTGGATTAATTTGTGTTTTTATTTTTCAGGTCAGAAATTTTTTGGAGAGATGCAAAATATGGTCCAAGAATTAAAGAACTTAGTTTTTTTTAAAGTTTTTTTTTTTATTTTTTAATATATGTAAGCACAGTTAATTTTTTTTATTTAATTCCTTTGTATATACTTTTGAATATTTAATTTTCATTTATGAAATATATGACGTTATTCTATTCAATATGTGGTTATGATTCAAAATATAGTATATAGTGTGTATTACATTCTTAAATGTGCATACAAAAATAATATTGATTATTTTTGAAATATGTCGAACCTTTTTTTTATTACAGATTTTATTAGTTATTAATCACACTTAAAAGGTGTGATCTAAATATTTTTAATCACACTTAAAAGGTGTGATCTAAATATTTTTAATCACACTTAAAAGGTGTGATCTAAATATTTTTAATCACACTTAAAAGGTGTGATCTAAATATTTTTAATCACACTTAAAAGGTGTGATCTAAATATTTTTAATCACACTTAAAAGGTGTGATCTAAATATTTTTAATCACACTTAAAAGGTGTGATCTAAATATTTTTAATCACACTTAAAAGGTGTGATCTAAATATTTTTAATCACACTTAAAAGGTGTGATCTAAATGTTATTAATCACACTTAAAAAGTGTGATTAAAAATGATTATTTTTAATCACACTTCCAAAGATCACACTTTAATAAAACTTAAAAGGTGTGATTAAATAACATACATCACACAAAAAAAGTGTGATCTTTATCTGTTTTTGTAGTAGTGGTCAGAAATTTCTTACATCAAAACGGTCAAGCTTCATGAAATCTTGAGTCATTTTACGAATAGACATCACCATATCTAAATATTGTTTTTAGATTTTTGGAACAATTTGTCTTGAATTCTTAAGTTGGTGGTCTTCGAGTCTTCAAAACTTGGTGATGAACTTGTCTATATAGAACAGAAATTTGATGCTTCAAGTCGCGTTACTAAGTTGCTTTCCTAAAGACAATATTTTCACCCACCAAAAGGTGTGCATGGGTTACAACAAATTTGCCTCCAAGATACAGTGAAGCCTGATCTAAAGATCAAGTCTACCGGCATCTACACTGACAACAGTAGATCAAAATATTCTTGATATAAAGAAGAAAACCAAGACACTGATAATCAAATTTGTAAAACTTGATTACCAGTAAGAAAAGTAGAAAATTTGCTTAAAAAACTCTTGATCAAAAACTCAAAATCAAGAGGGAGAGAGAGGGAGAGAGAGAGAGAGAGAGAGAGAGAATTGTAGGAATGCTTCTGAATTTTTTGTATGGAATGAAATGGCTGATTTCGTAGCCTATTTATAGGCCTTGATGGATCTGATCGAATGATCGTGTCCCTTGATTGCATCCAATCAAATATGACCGTTGGATCGACGATCTATGGTGCAGAACATTCTCATACCGAATAGCTGCCTTGATTGATCACACCTGATCACGATTGGATGTCATGTCATCCATACAATCACGCGCATCTCCAATCAATGGCTATGATCAAACTGCCCCAGATCGGACATGCAACCGTTCGATCGGTTAGTTGACTCATCGCCAATGGATGCCACGGCACTGCCATATGGAGCTGACTGTACCACGTCACGCACGTTACGTTGGATCCACGTCATCGCTCCAACCTGTCCGATGCAAATAGGAAAGTGCCTTTATGACATCTTGAACCGATGTGTCTGTGTTAAGTGCAAAGTGCGCCATCAAACGCTACACAGCCCACTGCCCACGCCACGCGCGCACGAGTATGTGTGTGCGTGTTGCGGTGTGGGTGCATGCACACTAGCTTTCACCTCACAATTCCATATTCAAAGGAATATTCCATGTAGCACTTTATTAAGTGCTCCGTGTTTTCCTCTCTTTCCAATGTAGGACAAAGTCTCCAAGCTTATTTCAAGCTTTCCAAAGAAAAATAAGGAAGGTTTTGAAAACACCCAAAAATTAAACTACACATTTTAAAAATCATTTTGAAAATTCCCCAACATATATGTGTTTGATTAGAGCTCGATCCATGTCACAGCTAAACAATAGAAGAGATAGAAAGAGAGAGAAAAATAAAGAATGAGCCAAAGAGAGGGAGAGGTGGAGAGTGGAGCAGAAGCTCCAGGAGCTCCATGAAGTGATTGTTGAAAGGAATAATTGTTGGACAATCTTCACTGTATTCGAAGAATGGATTAAAGAGAGAGAGAGAGAGAGAGAGAGAGAGAGAGAGAGAGTGTTTGATTGATTGCAAAAATCAAAACAGTATATATATATATATATAAAATAAAACAACAACAGATTCTTATTTTGTTACAAAAACAAAATCAGAATCTGATAAAGGAAAATAAATAAACTAGAAAAGAAAACAGATCACTTACCTTATTAATTTCTTGAACAAATTTTTAATCAAGTCTAGTGTTTAACACTATGACCTTAAGAAAGATTCGTCCTCTCCATGGTGCTTTCCGATTGTCGACGTCTATCTCCCAGGATAAAATGATCAACAATGAATAGTAGCAGCACTACAAATTATTCGCACAACGAACACACTTTGTGTTTACACTCTTTATACTCTTTCTCATAGGAAAATAATGTAGCAAAATGCAGAAAGAGCAATAGCAGAATTGAGGAAAAAAATTAAGTGAAAATCCAAATGAGGAACTTGTCTATTTATAGGTACAAAAAGGGCTTTTAAGTTTTGAATGAACAGGTAGCAAATCTGTTTGAATAGGTACAAGACCTGTTCGATTTGAATGAACAGATATAAACCTATTTGGTTTGAATTTTCAACAGATGCTGAATCTGTTTGGTTTAATTTTAAACAGATAGGAACCTGTTGGGTTTGAACTTGAACAGATATGAATATGTTTGAAGAGGTGCAAAAAATTTGAATTTTTCTCCAATCGAAATATGAAACAAAACTGGATAGATTTGAATTTTCCAAAAAATAAAAAATAAATTCAAATGTTTTTGGCGACAAAAGAAAAGTATTGGGCCGGACAAGCCCAACCCAACCTCACACTATGCACTCGCGCCCAAGCCTAGTCCAACCCAGCCTGCCCGACCAATTGGACGGATAGCAGCGGCGCACGTGTGTGTTTATTTTGGGTCCAATAGGTCTAGCCCACTTTGCCCATAACCTCCCCATCTACAAAACTTAAGTGCCCTATAGGGCCTACCCCAAGTTCCAAACCTAAGCCTTATAAACCCACACAAAGTGTGCCCACCAAACCAATATGGGACAAACTTTAATGGAAATTTTCCCAAAAACATCATTTCGATGGAGCTAACTTTGGCTTCAATTTCCTATTCACTCGATAATGGTTTTGAGCAACCAAATATACTACGTGAATCACAACGTAGCATAGAACGTGTTACCACTTAGACCCGCCAACTTTGGCGTATGGGTCCCACTTAAAAATTAGACCAAAGTTGAGAAAAAATCTATTTTTTTCCAAAACTATTTTTTACAATCCCCCACATGAATGGAATTTGATGACAACGAAAATGCAACAATATGTAGAATTTGTTGAAAGAGTATAAATCGAAAATATTTTGCATCAGGATAGGTTAGTTTCGGTTTTGAACCTTCCTTAGTGGTAATCTATCGGACTAACTAGCTAACCAATGGACGCGATGCCTTGAATTGTTCGGCCATTTGTGTAAGCCAAGACAGTAGATTTTACGCAAAATATCTTCTGACACATCGTGGTTCTCACGGTTGTGTTCATTTTGGCCTTAAATGCTCCTAGTTGTTCATGAGTGTTTCTAGAGAATTTAGCCTCTTCATTCTCATAGAACCGGCCCCAGTTCGACACTCATATAGTTGATTCTTATTGTGAGTATCTCTTATACTTGTCTTGATTTTTTATGCCTAAATCAAGATATAAGTAATCATTAAAAGCGAAGCTTATCCTTAAACCCTTGCATACGACATATGTTGTAGATATCACTCTCACCATAGGAATGGGTAGGGAATTTCAATCCCTTGGTGATTTCTGGCGAGCCACACATAACTTAGTTGTCCCTTTGAATTTAGTTTTTGGGATCTCCAGTCATCTAAGTAGGGTTACCATTATGATGACTCTTATGTAATAGGCTTTTATCCCATCTCCTTCGATGAACTATACACTTGCTCTTTTGTCAAACCTTTTGTTAACGGATCCGCAATATTCTTTTTAGATTTTATATAATCTATTGAAATTATTCCATTTGAGAGCAACTGCCTTACGATATTATGTTGACGGTGAATGTGTCATGACTTACCATTATACATATTACTTTGTGCCCTGCATATTACAGATTAACTATCACAATGAATGCAAATAGCTGGCACAGGTTTTGGCCACATTGGAATGTCTTCTAAGAAGTGGCAAAGCTATTTTGCTTCTTCTCCTGCTTTGTCTAAAGTAATGAACTCAGATTC